CACCGGGGCACTGTGGGGCCAGGGCTTGGTGGGAAAAGGCAGCGGTGTGCTGAGGGAAATGGGAAATGGAAATCCCTTCCCTCTGAATTATTATAAATCTGAAATGAAGGAGGTCTCAAGGCAGAAATATGGGAACAGGAATGAGAGTTTGTCTTGGTTTGCAAAGTCAGGTGTGTGCTGAGGAAAGCAGGAGCCTCCCCTGAAATGGAGAATGCAAACCCTCCCCTCATCCAAATTGCTATAAATTTTATATTAAAAATGTGGGAGCAGGAAGAACAGATTGTCTTGGTTTGGAAAGAGGTGTGTGCTAAAGAAAGCAGGAGCCCCCTCTGAAATGGAAAATGGAAATCCTCTCCCTATAAATTGTTGTAAATTTGAAATTAAGGGGCTCTCAGGCAAAAATATGGGAACAGGAAGAGCAGTTTGTCTTGGTGTGAAAAGCCAGGTTTGGGCTGAGGAAGGCAGGAGCCACCTCTGAAATGGAAAATACAAACCCCTTCCCTCTGAATTACTGTAAATTTTAAATTAAGTTCTCTCAGGCAAAAATGTGGGAGCAGGAATGAGAGTTTGTATTGGTTTGGAAAGCCAGGTGTGTGCTAAAGAAGGCAGGAGCCTCCCCTGAAATGGAGAATGCAAACCCTCCCCTCATCCAAATTGCTATAAATTTTATATTAAAAATGTGGGAGCAGGAATAACAGATTGCTTTGGTTTGGAAAGTCAGGTGTGTGCTGAGGAAGGCAGGAGCCTCCCCTCATCCAAATTGCTATAAATTTTGTATTAAAAATGTGGGAGCAGGAAATAACAGTTTGTCTTGGTGTGGAAAGAGGTGTGTGCTAAAGAAGGCAGGATCCTGCCCTGAAATGGAAAATAAAAACCCCTTCCCTCTGAATTGTTGTAAATTTGAAATTAAGGGGCTCTCAGGCAAAAATATGGGAGCAGGAAGAGCAGTTTGTCTTGGTGTGAAAAGCCAGGTTTGGGCTGAGGAAGGCAGGAGCCTCCCCTGAAATGGAAAATGCAAACCCTCCCCTCATCTGAATTGCTATAAATTTTGTATTAAAAATATGGGAGCAGGAATAACAGTTTGTCTTGGTTTGGAAAGAGGTGTGTGCTAAAGAAGGCAGGAGCCACCTCTGAAATGGAAAATACAAACCCCTTCCCTCTGAATTACTATAAATTTTAAATTAAGAGCTCTCAGGCAAAAATATTGGAGCAGGAATAAGAGTTTGTATTGGTTTGCAAAGTCAGGTGTGTGCTGAGGAAGGCAGGAGCCTCCCCTGAAATGCAGAATGTAAACCCTCCCCTCATCAGAATTGCTATAAATTTATATTAAAAATATGGGAGCAGGAAATAACAGTTTGTCTTGCTTTGGAAAGCCAGGTGTGTGCTGAGGAAGGCAGGAGCCTCCCCTGAAATGGGAAATGTATTCCCTTCCCTCTGAATTGTTGTAAATTTGAAATTAAGGGGCTCTCAGGCCAAAATGTGGGAGCAGGAATGAGAGTTTGTATTGGTTTGGAAAGTCAGGTGTGTGCTAAAGAAGGCAGGATCCTGCCCTGAAATGGAAAATACAAACCCCTTCCCTCTGAATTGTTGTAAATTTGAAATTCAGGGGCTCTCAGGTGTGCTGGTGCTCACAGGGGTCCCAGCAGGAGGGAAGAGATGAGAATCTTGACTCCATGTTTCAGAAGGTTGATGTATTATTTTATGATATAGATTATATTTTATGATATAGATTATATTCAAAGAAAACGATCTATTAAACCATGCTAAAAGAATAAAAACAAAAATTAAAAGAACCCACAAACAAACAAAAATAAAATAAACAATGCAGAGATACAA